GATGTGTACTTTCCTCGTATATTGTATCCACACGTGGGAGCACAAAGTCGTTAGGGTGTTTTTTTAAGGATTGTGGGAGTGTGTGAGGTTCGCTTGAAAGGGTTACACATAGCTCGTAGAGTGAATGCTAGCTGATAACGAAAAGTCAAGGGAGCGAGTGAGGGAACCTACCCGCGAGGAGATGATGATTTCCGCTCTATCATTATCGTATTTACATACAATGTTTAGCATAGTGAAAAGTAAGCTACGTTTTTAGCGTTAAGTGTCGACGTTCAAAACGGACACGCAACAAGTATCGTCGTCAACGTCGTCGTCGTCGTCGTCGTCGTCGTTGTCGTTGTCGTTGTCGGAGACCCGACCGAACCACGATCGTTCTTTCGTTTATTCGTCGTCAACCCCACCTCCCCCACCCCCGAATTCCCTCGTTCTTCTCTTCTGTTGGGTCCGTTCTCGTGGCCGATCGAGAACGATCGTCTCGCGCGGATGCAAGCCGGAGAACGAGCGTCGAGCGACGACGTTTCGCGCGTGCGAAACCGTGGAAATTCGAATTTCGTGTAGCCGCTTTTACAGGCACCGCGAAAACCCATTTTTGGTGCTATTTTTCTATATATCGATGTGGTATGGCTCTCGGTAACCGAGGCGCTCCTTCTCCGCGCTCTGAAACGCGTGCGACAGGATCGACAGATCCTTTTTACCGTCTTCGCCGCGAACACGCGAGACGCGAGTTGCGAATTCGCTCTGTTAGAGGGTGGACGCGAGCAAAGGGCGTCGCGAGAGGCGAAATTTGAAATTTCGTTAAGAGAAACTCGACCGACGGGTCAGTTACGAACTGTACACTTGCGTTTAGATAATTAGTCTCTCGTATAGTTGTTTCTTGTTTTTAATGAGACTCCGGAGGTGTTGCTCTTCGTTCTTCATTCTCCGTGGGACGCGTCACCCTCGATTCTGAAAACCCATCGGTGGTCGAGACGTTCGCAGGCGTTTGAAAATTGACGCGAAACGGCTAGGCCAAGACAGAAGCTTCCGAAACGTGATTTAGTTTACTATTGACAAATTCTAGTTCTTAATTCGTTTGTAAGAATAGCGTGGATAGAGAACGAAGACACGGAGTATTTTCGACTTCTGTGTTTCGAAAAACCTCCCGTGCTAACCGGAAGCTCGGCGAAGAGGAACGTCAGGTCTGGAACGGCTCGACCATCGTCGGGCGACACGAGTTTTCGTATGGTTTCGACGTAGACGTATTTATATTTTCGACGGTATGGTTCGAGAGTTTTCTTACATTCTCTTAATCTGCTCAATATTCGGGGCGCCCATTTGGCGTTCGAGATGAGTGTTCTTCTTCGTTTAATCCGCTGAACTTCAGCAGCCATTCCATCGGAATTGTTCTTGGAAACCGGCGAGTCGCCGTTCCCCCGTGATTTTCCAAGAATCCGTTCCCGTTCTGAAGAATGTCGAATGTATATGCGTACATATATGATTCGATCGGAAATTGTGCAAGTATGCGAACGTGGTGTAGGCCATCGACTATGGTGTTTTTACGATTCACCGTTTGTGTTTGTTAAAACTAATTATTATTACTATTACGATGATTATTATTAATATTATTATTATATTATTATTATAAAATGAGTGTATCACAGTTTAAATATATCTATTTTATATTAAATCATCAATGCCGCAGCGATGGTCTTGTTCCGCATAGGACAGTGATTACATCTATATCTCATCGATAGTAAGTTTTATTGTATTTCAGATAGCGGATCGAGCCGCGATACAAAACACATTAACACTGTCCAATTGTTTGCTATCAGATAAGGCCACTCGTGGCTGATACAATTAACGATAACGCCCACTTTATTGTTCAGTAGTTTTTAATTGTCAACAGTTGATACGGTTATCTTTACCCCACTTTCTCATCACCCGGATGATTTGATCCACTTGAGAATTAGAAGTATTTTTCAAAAGCTGTATAACATCAGGTAACAGTTCTCTGGAACAAAAACAAGAGTTCATTAGACAGAGCGCTACGAGTCATGGTGACAATTGTCGTGAAAGGAAGTCTCTCTCACTTGGGCTGTTTCTCAGCTACAATATACTGAAATGTACCGCAACAAGCGCCACGTTTTCCTTCCCAGTTCTCAGGACTAGGATCCATCCGTTCCAACATGTCGAAGGCCTTTGCGGCGTACCAAAATTCACCAACTTTGTAACAGTCATTCGCGATCAGTTGCAGTAAATTAAACGACTCCGTAGTCGTGTCCATTTTTAAGTATAAATTCCATGCCAACTGAGGCTTCTTATTCATTATATCTGATGATGAAATACTTGTTATCGTTCTTGTTGTTACTGCTGAATTTAGTATTCATGGACAGTAACGGAGAACACTTACAACAATGAGCCAGAAGACTAATGTAAATGTAATCATTTTTATATTTTTCATTTCGTATAGTTAAGAATGCTTCCTCTGCCTCCTTAAAGTAGCCAGCTGCTGCTTGTGCCTGGGCATAATTGAAGTTGAAGTTGTCTTCGTTAGAAAAGTAAGTTTTGATCGAGTGCAAATACACCAGAACTTCTTCAAATTGGCGATAGAGGAAGAAGGAAGAGGCCATGCATTGTCTTCCAGGTATGGTGTCGCATTCTGACGCTGAAGAGCCCACTAGTTGGAAACATTGTTGGGCTGTTTTTATGTTATCTCGCTAAAAGTATGTATAGTTTTAATTAGTGTGATTGCTTACTGATATGTGAGGTTTATTATTGCTTACAGAATTAGTCTCTTGCCCCATCACCGCGTTAACTATCCCCTGTAAAATGTATTCCTGTGGTACTGCTGGTTCAAGATCCTTGATTAATTCGAATGCCTCTCGCACATCGTCTTGTTTCAAGTAATAGATTACTAAATTAAGTCGAGCCTCTGGTATAACGTCCACTAAGTTGGGCAAAATTTGTAGCGCACCTTCTCCACCTTTGAATACCTGTCATTAATTCATTTATAGCGTTAAACGTTACATAGCTTGGATGTATCTTTCATAGTAATACTTACAACTGAATTGTGACGTATAAGATCATGACTGGAACTGAAAGAGTTGGACATTTTATCTATTAACTGTTTCATTTCATTCTGTGCAGCAGTTCCATTGTATAATCGAAAATGATTGCATGCTTTCAGATTAATTGCAATTGCACTGTCAGGATACTTTTGCAGATACACTTGAAGAACTTCCTGTGCTACATCATAATAGTCCAGTTTATAGTAGCACAGAGCAACGTATACGTTTAATGCAAAATATTCTCTGCAAAGTGGACATTGAAATGAGAACTTTGATCAATATTTATCCTGCCTTGATTGTGGGAATCACAGGAAAAGGATGAGGAAAGGATTGGGTACCTGGTATTTTTCAATTTCATAATCATGCACATGTCTGACACTTTACTAGACATATTGTCTTCACCGAAACTACTTGAATTATCACTATCTGAGTCTCTGGGCGAACAGTTGAGTTAAAATTCAAACATTTCTGACGTTTAGGTAAAGAAGAAAACACATAGATAAGAACCTGTTCTCCAGCAAAATTTTTTTATAAACATCAATGGCCTCTTGGTAATGAGCTCTAAGGTAATGATTGGATGCCAGGCTGAGTTGATCCTCTATGACATCCTGTAGCATGTGATTGTAATCATTCAATTTTGATTCATTACCCATTTTATGTGCTAAGTGAAAGAGAAGTCTGTTCTTCAGTTTGCTATCTGGAGCATCCTCCAGAATTTTCTGTGACTCAGGGTACATCCCAAGGTAAAAATAGCAACAAGCTAAGTTTGTTAGCAAATCCACAGCTGTTTGATCCTTGTTTCTCAAGTTTTCATATATTGTAGCAGCACGTTTGTAATCTCCTAGGTGAAAAGCACAGTAGCCCATCCATAGTTCAAAGTTTAAACTAGTCTCCGAGGTGCTGTTGAACTCGAGAAGTGTAAGAGCTCCAGTATAATCTCGTTTCTCCAAAAATTCCTCTAATTTAGGTATTTTCTTTTCCGATGTTGACCTCTTCACCCCCTCAGAAGAGGCTGGCTTAGATCTTGACAGTATCTATTACACAAGTTTCTACAGTGAGTATTGGAACACAAAAAGATTAATAAAAAAGAAATGAAAAAATGTAAATTAATGTTTCAAAGAATATTTAAAATTAAAGTTTTCCCTTAAACAAAGAAAGTAAACTAAAGAACAGGATAACACAGCGCACAATGTTATGTTTACCATTTTTGGTCACTGTTGCTAATAGTTACAAGTATCTATTGATTCCCGCATACGAATAGCGCTATGTTCGCGATAAAATGTTAAATATATAAAAAAAATATATTTTCTTTAAAACACTTGCACATTTCCTATACATTATAAGACACTTAGAACTATATGTATACAAAATAAATTTAAATGTTACTCCTTCATGCGCAATACAAGTGATAGAATCTGCTGTTCTATATTTTTTTCGCTATATAACTTTTCCATTAAAACTATAATAATAATTTTGAAAATTTTTAATGAAAATTCATTATTTTGTGGAAAGAAGGAAAAGGAAAAAATGTTTCAAATATATTTCCTCAGTACGAAAAAAGGGGAAACTGACCGTACAATGTCATCCTTGTCCTACCAACTGTATTGTCCTCATTAAAAGTCGGAGCGCTCAGAACGCGACGGACCGTCGTAGAGGTTACATCGCCGGTAGTGTTTTTGCATTTATTTTCGTAATGCTGGAAGGTGTTAAGCATGTGTTGTTAGTGCTGTCTGGTAAAGGTGGTGTTGGAAAATCAACAGTCAGCACGCAATTAGCTCTCGCGCTCAAAGAATCGGGATTTCGAGTGAGTCGTAGAATATTGTACACCTTATTTCTAGGTTAGATTGCTTACATGTCAAAATGTTGTAGGTGGGTTTGTTAGATGTCGATCTTTGTGGACCTAGTGTGCCTTATCTATTAAATTTAGAGGACAAAGATGTCCATCAATCGTCTGACGGGTTTGTGTACAATTTCATTAAAATGTTGTTCTATAGTGAAAAATATACTTTCCATTTTTTAACAAATTAGTGTATATATACACTTTTGTGGATTAATTTTGAAAACTAAAAGGAAAGAGAACTTTGCTTGCTATGTTAAGGGTTCTTATAGACACTAAATAATATATAAACTTGAATGAACTGTATTATGTGTATTATTCCGCTGAGTTTTAAACAATCATAAATGTTACACAATCTAGTCATTAACATTGTTTGGGTGTTGAAGATGGGTACCGGTGTACGCTGACAAAGAACAAAGATTGGCTGTCATGTCAATAGGATTTTTGTTAAAAAGTCAGAATGACAGTGTTGTTTGGAGAGGTCCCAAGAAAACCGGGATGATCAAGCAATTTTTAAATGATGTTGTTTGGCAAGACATTGACTATTTGATCATTGACACACCACCAGGAACCTCGGATGAACATATTACAGTGATGGAAAATTTAAGGTATCATTAAAATGGATTCCTTCCTTTTGTTGCTTATTCATTTTTTAATTTTTTATATGTTTGTGGCATTGACTCTTAAAGGAAAATGTTTTGCTCTATAGATCTTTAGTATTACCAATATCATGTGCTCTTGGTCGTTCACATGTGACTGTGATTAAGAATCATGTGATGTCCAAACGAAACATAACTCTAGTCAGATAAGCGAATGGTCATGAGATTGATAAGCTCTTATATTCTGGTCGAATGTGTACTACAAGTGGAAATATCACAAACATTGTATTAAACATTCGTATTTCATAATGAATGCATGACATTAATTTGTACTAATAAAGATATGTTTTATAGGAGTGTAAAATGTGATGGGGCACTTATAGTAACTACTCCACAAGCAGTTGCTGTGGATGATGTTCTCCGGGAAGTAACATTTTGTAGAAAAACTGGCATTCATATATTTGGTATTATCGAAAATATGAGTGGATTCGTGTGTCCTTCATGTTCGGTTAGTAAATGAACTATTCATCTTCCTTTATAAAAATCTATTTATTGCTTTTACAAAGAATAAGCATTTCAGGAATGCACGAATATATTTTCCGCGGGTGGAGGGATAGCCTTATCAAAAATGGTAAATGTACCATTCCTCGCAAAAGTACCCATAGACCCACAAGTAGGTAAATTGGCTGAAACGGGACAGAGTGTTTTAGTAACTTTACCGGATAGCCAGGTGGCTCAGGTATTCCGGAAACTAGTCGAAGAACTTACCAAAAGCAAAGAAGCATAAGAGTGAGACTATGGATTCCACCCATACAATTCCGTGTGAAATATAGTACTTGTTTGTGATGTTAAGGGGTCTTCCAAATTTGCAAGGACAGTCTTTTTTATTACATGTTTTTAAGGTGTAAAAGAAATTCTCAAGATGAATAAAAAGGTAACCATATAATTTAAGAAGACACTGGATTACAGTTACTCGAAAATATTCTATGAATCAATGCACCTTTTAATGCTAAAGAAGGAAGATCCCTTTATCGTTAGCCCTTTGCGAACCAATATTCTTTAATGTCAGTTATCATAGGTGATACATTAATTAACTCGAAGAAATACGTTTCTAATGGAAAGTGTATATGTATCTCTTGATATTACAATACGATTGCATAAAAGAATTTGCATAATCACAAAGGGTTGATCTAAACGGCGTCCTAAATTATGTATAGAGCGTACAAGTACAAATACAACGAGTAGTTTTACACAATAGCATTTATATGAGGTACATGTTACTGGAATTTTTGCACTTTATGAAAAATACAATAACAAAGAGTGTGCGTGTACATGGTCAATAATAGAGAAATATTGAAGTCGTAAATTTGGCGAAGTCCTGTAAGAACAAACTTTTAATATCCTGACCAGGCAGGACATTAGAGCCTAACGAGATATATATAATTTTGTCAATCTTCCTAGCAATTAACCAACAATACGTTTATAAAATACTCGACGTACATTTTCAGTTATAAAATCGCCTCATTTACGACTTTTATTTTTTTATCATCGAACGTTAACAGAAACGTTCGGATATATTTTATAAATGCTTTTTTCACACAATAATATGAATGTGGATTAGCGTACCGTTGTATAATGTATATACATCGAAAATCTTTGTACATTTTCGCGTTCTATTTACGGTCTTTCCAAACTCGTAAATTTATATAATTATTTACACTTTTTAATTGTTGCGCACGTATTTTAAAAATAAAAAAATAATATATTTTTTCTTGTATTTTCATATAGACCTAGTGGCAATAGGTAACTGTAAGTACCTTCTATTGCAATCGTTTTTCGTAAGCAATCCAAAGTTCCTTTTTATATTCTAATGTAGCGGCTAATCGATCTTCTGCCTCGGAAATACCTCTGCCAACAACAGCCAGATCTGCTCCAGAATTTACTACAGATTCTGGTGTGTTGTACTGCTGTCCTAAGTTGTCTGAACTTTCGGCGAGCTTTACCCCAGGGGTTAACTGAATGAGACCTGGATCTGTAAAAATATTTGACTGGCAAACAATGCCAGTGACCATATCTGAACTTTGCGCAATTGATACTGCGTGCTGTGCATATTCGCTATTTGTTAATGCACCTTTGGAAGACATTTGAGCTAATATAAAAATACCACGTGGTTTGTTAATACTTTCTAAACCAGTTTTTAGTCCATCTATAATACTTTGACCTGCTATCGCGTGAACAGTAACAATATCTGCCCATTCCGCGATTTTATAAATACCCTTTTGATACTGTAAAGATACTGTGTTGCCAATATCAGCAAATTTTCGATCTTCCATTAATAAGAAATTGTGCTTCTTAGCTAAATCTTTTAAACGTTTTATAAAATCATCGCTAAAATCTTCTATTATATCTACGTGCGTCTTTAATACCACAATATGTGGTCCTGTCAAATCAGCTAACTCCAAAATAGAGTCAGCTTTAATTAAGTCAGCTGCTAAACATAAGGTAGATTGTTTTGTTTCCATCAAGTTGAATATTTTAGATGCAACTTCGTTTTTAGTCTTAGTCGCGCGAGAGTAAAATGGTTCCTTCAGTTTTGTTTCTGGAACTTGAAAAAATATAGGTTGAAATTATTTAACCATGCCAATGGAAAACTGATTTATCAATGTAAAAATTCTATTTACCTTGAACAGGAATAAGAGGTGCTTGATATTTTAACAAGTAATCGGTTACATCTTTTACAACCTTTAGTGTGATCTTGTTAGCTTCTAGAAGATAAGCCATAATAGTGGTAATCGTATATAAACTTTTTATATTAATATCATGATTTTTTATGTTTCTTCTGCCGCCTTGTTGCCTGTCAATTACCACAAAAGCGTCTGTCACTATTAAACCCTCCTTTCTTAAAGTAAGTGCAGTTTCTAAAATGCTGCTGCCACTAGTAATTACATCTTCAATGATTATACAATTATCTCCTTGTTTAAATTGGCCTTCTATCATCTTCATTGTACCATAAGCCTTTGCTTCTTTCCTTTTTATCAACATAGGTACATTAGAATCGACAGAGATCAAAGTGGCCAGTGGCAAAGCTGTATAAGGTACACCACAGATTTGAGATATGTTTGTACACTCTTCCGAAAATTTCCATAGTGCCTTAGCCAAACGAGCCTTAGTAATACAAAAGAAAATGGAAATAATATATAAATCATCTGGGTTATCGCGTTAATTCAATAAAATAATTAGTTTTGTCTGAATTATTTTTGTACCATAACTTTTGGGTGTGAGACTATGACTCTTAAGTCAAAATATACTGGAGTTTTCAAACCAACTTTGGTCACAAATTCTCCAAATTTAAGCGCGTCAATTTCAAACAGCGCAACAGCTAATTCTCTCAGCTCTGTATCTATGGCATTCGTATTTTCTGTCATGATTTCAACTTTCTGGAGCACACGTGGATCTGCAAACCATGATATCCAAGATATTAAATGATTTTAAGGTTAACTCGTTAGATGCAACCACTTTTATTTCGAATTACATTTCAAACGAATCTATACCCAAATTTAAAATAAAAACAATTTGTACGGTACTTATGAAATAATTACGTTTAATATAAAAATTAATATCCAAGGTCTTGTACTGTCTTGTGATCAAGACCACTTTATCTTCAATTAACCTCCAAAAAAGGGAACTGTCAAGGTTCTGCGATATATCGACTCTGTCGAGATAAGACATTTAAATTTTTACCGCGTCAACATGTGGTAGTTTTTTATATTATTTTTATTCTAACTTTGATTTTTCAAAATTTCCATTTACTTAGTGTTCTTATTTTCGGTGTGACACACCAGATTAATTTTGATTCATTCTGCAGGTAGTAAAATAGGAGGTGAAGGAATTCAGATAAAAACATCAATTATATATTAATAATATTTCTTTATTTCCTTTAATCAATATTGCTGTCTGTATAAGTGAAAACTCGATGCTTATCGAGGCGTTTGAGAACCGGTAAAAACACATTACCGCACCACGTGCAGTAACATTAGAAATCCAGTATCTTTCGTTTATAATATACTTTTCTTATTTATTTCCCCAACCCCATAGACCTTTAACGAATCCTGTAATACCTGCCTGACCACCTTTCTTAGCCTGATCACCGAGTTTCTCGCTCAAATCCGGAAACTCCACCATGTTGAAAGCCAAGTCGAAAAACAATGGCTTACAAGGAATAGGCTGCATAGATGGTGGCAATTTGTATACGTTAGGCTGCTTTGTAAGAAGCGCAGCATCTTCCCTGTATTCGTGCAGGCGTTCATACAACGGTTTCTTTGTCTTCGTATATTTGTTGGTTCCAGTATCGTCTTCTTGTTCTTCTTCCAATACGCTATGTGCATGAGCAGCATACTTGGCACCCTCTATAGAAGTCTCCAATTTCTCTAGAGCCTCTTTCAACGAGTCAGGAAGCATTTTACTATAACTTAATGCATCTTTTACATGTTGTGCGGATCTCTGATATAAAAGCATTGCTTCTCTCCATCTGTGCAGATTTGCTAGAGACTGAGCCATGTAATAACACCTGAAAGCTCTGTAACTTTTTGTCTTTGCCTCTTGTTCACGCACAAACTCTTCATCGTCTTGCAACTGTGAAATCTCAACTAGATTATGGAGAGCTGCTTCATACAGTCTTACAATATCTTGTGGCTTTGCTTTGCCAGACTCTTCAGCAGCTTTGATCAACGCCAGATTTCTTTCAAGGGTACGCGACAACCTAATGTATTGCAGATAAGTGATCAAATGTTGTGGCGGTGTTAGTTTATCATTGTCCTTGTTCTTCAACTCATTCTTAAAGAAGTCCCTTACAGCTGAGATAGCATCCTTACAATCTATCAGGTGTGCTTCTAATAAATCGATTTTACTTTGATTTGTAACTGTTTTATCTAACGTTTGATTCAATCTTGAGTCTGCAATTAAGAGACCTGCTGCTCTAGGTGGCACTGTACCACAAGATTTACCACGCCAAGTCACTTCCTCAGTGTTAGCTTGTTTCTCTCGAGTTTGAGCTATCAATGAGTCTAAGCTAGCTAGCAACTCTCCACTCAATTGACCTCTCATTTGCATTAAATCATCTATGGCAGTGGTATCTCCAATATTATAAGCACAGTATCTAAGGCTAGGAGCAAGTTCTTCCACTCTAGCATTGTACATTACTTGCTCTAATTCTGGTAGTGCTGAGGCCAACTTGCCATATACTACCTGTGCTTTCTTTAGATTCTCCATAGCTTTTTTCCATAACTGTAATTCAAAGTGTAAGGAACCATGTATCCAGGCAACATATGCTTGAGCTTCTAATTTTGTTCTTGCATCGCAGTTAATGTTCTGTAAAAATTGTTTTATATGAAAACCTTAACATATTACAAACTAAAAATTTAGTTTATGTTACCTCTATTAGTTCTTGCAGCTGCAAAGAATAAGTAGCAGCTTTCCTTAGTCTAGATACTAAATGAAATTTCTTTCTTGGTTCTGTATTAGATTCTTGTCTCAACTGCATAGCATAGCTCCAAGCACGTTCTGCCATCATCAAAGGTATTTGTAGAAATTTGTCATCAGTGATCATTGCAGGTGTAATATCTTTCCTTTTAAAATGACGTCTATCTCCTTGTGGAACTTTTAACACTTTCCTTAAGCGTCTTAGCCTTCTTGAACAATACCCACGGTATCGTTGATAATCACTATGTCTCAACCCATGTTGCTGCTGTGCTTCTTTAATAATCTTTAAAACTGTTTATTATTCATTAAGGATCATACAATTGTACAATGCTTATGAAATTTATATAAAAGGTGATTTCAAATAATTAAAAATATAGTGAAAACATAAAATAACAAATAAAGAGCTGGTTGTAGTTAATTATATTTAACTACATTTAACAAAGATAATACGAAGTATTAAATACCAGTCGAAATATAAATAAAAGACTGTTCATGTTTAAAGATAACGAATTTGTATTCTACCTTAATTATTGATAAAATTATATAAAATGTTTTTATATAATTATATCGACAGATTTTAAAGCTATACGCTTCCAGTAGGCGCGATATGACAAACAGAGGTTAGAAAATGACATATGGCATTGACAGAGTCAGTAATGTATACTAAAAACTTGTCGAAAAAGGATACTTTCCAGCGAGTACGCCTTCTGTTCCTTCGGCTCGGTAGCATCATTTGCTTGGTTCTCTTTTAATAACTCGGAATTTCTTTGCTCGACCACCATCGTCTCGCAACCACGTATCCACTTTTCACCAAGCCTCTGTCGCCACGAACCCGACAATCACAAAGAAACTATAGTGTCAGGCAAGTGCTGATTTCACGCTCGCGTGCTGGGCGGTTCATTTGAACGAGTTCTATTAAAATATATTTTTCTTAATCGTGAATAATTTCAGAATACTTACATAAATTAAACTGCCATTATTCATAAAAATTAGAATTTTTCAAAACAAAGTTGAGAAGTCAGATATTATGTAAAAATAAATCACTACTATACATATACTTTATTTATCTGCATATATAAAACAAAACTTATGAATTGTATAATTGTACATAATAATAACAATGTTGAATTGTATAATTGTAGATAATAATCACAAAAGAACGTGTCACACATATGTACCGTGCAATAAAAAATGTGTTAATAAAGAAAATTTTACATATATAAAGATCTTCCTTAATTCCGTTTGATTCCAATTCTAAATAACAAAACAAAGAATTCACTATGAATAAAAAAAAACACAAACGTCAGCTTGTACTTTGTTTAACAGAACATTTACAATATGAATTCCAAAAGTAAAGTCATGAAAGCGTAATGTCAGTTGCAGGCAGTCAGGGGCATCATCGCGGAACCGTGACAGAGGCCGTTAATTTAATGGTGATTTACAGGGGGTAATATCCACCGTTCATTCCAACCCCTACAATGAGTAAGACAAGGACAGAGCGAATGTACGACAAGGATAGAGAATTTTCGTGGCACACGATAGCATCGCCATCTAGCGGTTATTAGGAAAGACAAGGAAACATTCATGGAAGAGAGAGGATAGGCCTGGTTGATTGGCGCCACCTAGCAGAATTAAATTGATACTATTTGTTTAGGAGTTTCAGGGAGTGCTGAGTAGATGGCGCACGTAAACAGAGCAAGGGTTTCTCACACCGATGCCAAGGGGTCTTTCATACCGATTCCAGAGGTTTCTCGCGACGGTTCGAAGGGTTTCTCACATCGATTCGGGGGGTCTCTCGCGACGGTTCGTGGGATTGCTTAAACTAATTTCGGGGGTCTCTCGCAGGGGTTTCTCGAGGAGGTTTCTCATACCGATTCCGGAGGTCTTCCACGACGGTTCGAGGGCTTTCTCGCACCGATTCCGGGAATCTCTCGTGGGGATTTCTCACACCGATTCGGGAGGTTTCGCGCAACAGTACAAGGGGCTTCTCACACTGCTTACGGCAGCCTATCGTAAGGGTTCCAGGGCGTTTCTCGAGGAGATTCCAGGGTGTGTATCGTGATGGATCGATGGGACTTGACTCTACAAAGTCGCACAATCTACAAGGGCTTAGAGCATTCATATTCTCAGATTTCTTAGTGGCCGAAAAAAGGTTGAAAAGTTATCACGCTAGCACATCCAGATGGCTACACTAAGAAAACTCGGGAATTTCTAACATTTAAATCTCTTATCACATACAAAATGGCGCAAAAGCTTGAAAGAACCGATGCCAAAGCGCTGGAATTAAAGAAAGCTACCAAATTTAGAATTGCCAGGTATTTAATACTGCCACTAAAGTGGCATAAAAGCAATAAAGCTCCTCTTTCATGGGGCCCACACTAAAAAGCTTGCAAATTTGCGACTTTGGAATATTTAAGTCATCCTAAAATGGCTCACAAGCTCGAGAGCCAAAAGTACAGAAGGATCAAACTAAAAAAGATCGAATTTGACTCTATGCGAAACTAAGCTATACCAAAAGTGGCTCAGAAGCCCCAGGGCCCCTAAGTACAAAAGGCTCAAACTAAAAAAACTCATAATTTAACTCTCTAGGAACTTGAACGCTTCCAAAAACGGCTCAAAACCTCGAGATACCTAAGTACAAAAGTTTCAAACTAAAAAAAGCTCCAAATTTGACTCTCTAGGAAATTAAGCTTTTAAAAAGCGGCACAAAAGCTCGCGAGTCATAAGTAGAAGGGGCTCAAAATAAGAGTGCTCAAACTTTAGCTCTCCATGATATTAATTTCACCCGAAAATGGCTCTAATTTCGTGAGGCTCATTCTAAGGAAGCTCGAAAAGTGAGCTTTTGAACCATTTTTGGAGAACAAAATTTCCTAGAAAATGATATTCTGAGCTTTTTTACTTCGAGCATCTTGTAGTTAGAGCATTCGAGGTTTTGAGCCATCTTTGAAAGAGCACAGTTTCGCGGAGAATTAAAGTTGGCGGTTTTTTAGTTTGAGCCTCCTGTAGCTAGATCCCTTGAGCTTTTGAGCAATTTTGGGGAGATCTTAATTTTCCTAGAGAGTTAAAAGATAGGCTTTTTTAGTTTGAGCCACTAGGTTTGAGTGGTTTTGAGCTTTTGTGCCACTGTTGGGGAGAGTTCAAGATCCTAGAGTTCCAAAATTTTCAGCTTCTTTCGTATAAATCTCGTGGCATAAGCACTTGCCCGCTTTTGACTTATTTTCGGGATAGTAAAAAATTATAAACTCCAAAACAGAATTCCTTCGGGCATCCTTTAGAAACCCCGCGGGATATCCCCCGAATCGATATGAGAGCCACGCAAACCCTCGCGAAAGATTTCCGTGGGAGATCCCCGGAATCGGTGTGTGAAACCCCTTATACATCCCCGGAATTGGTGTGAGAAACCCTTTAAATCCTGTGCTGGGATCTCTAGAATCGGTGTGAGAAACGTCTCGAAACCCCTGTGAGAGACCCCCACGAGAGACCCCTGAATCAATGTGAGAAACCCCTCG